TAGCAAAACCGAATGAGATCGTTTCGGGGAAGGCATCAAAAAGCTGGCTGAAAGTAACCCACCTTCTTCTTCTGGTGGAATCAACCTTCGTATATATTCCTTACACTTTTATAAATAGAATTAAGCATAACAATTGTAAACTAATAGAGTCATTCGAAGATATGGAGATCAGGATCGTGTGGCCTTCGGTATGGTCACGGTCTCTTTTCGATCTATGGAAGGGGGTTGACCTCGTTTTCGCAACTTGGTCGTCATCAGGAAGACTTAGTTGGACACATTTGAGAATCTACCAAGTCCATGGTCTGACGCTGGGAATTGTGATAACTACTATAACATAGGACTTCGAATAAGCTGCGTCCAATTAAGTCATTCTGACAATAAGACCAAGTTGCGAAAACAAGGTTAATCCACTTCTAATAGATTCATTAATGGCTAATTTTTTGTATTTTATAAATTTATTCTTATTTTTACAAATGCATTAAGTTTTAAAATGATATTTTTCCTAGTATAGCTATTCCTTGCTAGTGATCACTTTAATATGACCTCTTTTATATTGTTTTTCTTACCCATTATTTATAGCTTAGTACTGGATGTACAGCGATCTGTTCGTGCAGCCTGTGTCGAACCACTGCTGGAACTTGGCACGCTAATAAAGGATGTTGTCGAGTTTGAGTCATTTATTCAGCCATGTTTGGACAGACTAGCTGAAGATGGCAGTCGGTAAATATGTATTTGGTTTTAGCATGATTTCGAGTTGGTAAATATTTTTCAAAAAGATTCTGTTCATTTCCTTTTGGAAGCTTTAACCATCAGTTCCTCCGTATTAGTTTGGACCACCTTAGGTGACTCGGGTTCTTCAAGAGGTAGCTATATTTTCAAACCCAACTTTTTGGCGTATAAAGCTGTCCGTACATCTTTATACGCTGTACAAACATTATCATGTATGTATGTAGAAAGATTGGGTTTCTAAGAATCTCTTAATAGATTGGTCTTGGAGTGACGAAAGCTCAGCAAAGATTCATCGGGGTCTCAAGGCGATGAGCCAAAGACCTATTCGCACAAATCTATATTCACTGCTCTAAGGCAATCATCCATAGCCTCCACTCGAACCAACTTACTAATACCTTCCACTCGCTTCTTCAAACGAAATGAAAGGTATTCCAACATCATGTAATTCTTTTATCACTCAACAACTACGGGATTCCTTAACACAAATGGTGTAGTTCTTACCATTATAATTAATTGTAACGACGGAAAGTGTGTTGTGTCACTAGAATCCCTTTCATTCCTTATAAGTTCCTATTTTAATCTCGTGCTGGAGATGTTGAAAAATTTCCCGCTAAATATTTATTCGGTGTCGTAATAGTATCTCCGAGTTTGTATATTTGTATGAGTGCGAATAAATGAGGAATTAAAGGCTATGGCCTCTATTTTTATCGTGTTTTTTTGCTGTATAAAAGGAGTTTGACCTTGTTCTCACAATCTAGTCGGGTTGTCACGGTCTATATACACACACCTTGTCCTGAGTCATATGCCATAGTGTCTATGATAATTTCCGAAGTTTCAATGCTTTTAAATTCTTGGTCTGACTGGAACTTATCATAACTTCTATGGCCGGGGACAACGGATAAGGTGTGTTCACTTGGGCCTTTTACGGAAGGTCTAAGTTGCGAAAGCAACGTCAGACTACTTCTATTCCATTTTTTTATTTTCTTAATAAATGAATCAATTTAGCTTCACTTTCGCTATGAAAAGACTTAAATAAAATCTTTGTATTAATTTCGACATTAGTAACTTTCGAGTGTGAGTTCTTATATAGGTATTAGCATTGATTAATTGAGGTACGTATTGCTCATACAGGACGTGGATGCACATAAATGGAACTATTTTGCTAAGGGTAATTTTGGGTTCACATGCTAGGATGTTAGGTTATTTGAGATGTCTTTAAATATTGTATCTGGAATTTAAAACATTTTCTATGGATCATATTTAAATTATCGAGAATAAGTTAGTGTGCTTCTCTCGTTTCTCACTAAGGGGGTACCTTAATTATCGCTCATAATTAACTAACTTACTGGAATTTAGTTAGGCTTATTCGATATTTTATTTCGTCTATATAGCCATTGCGTTCGATATTGTCTAATGAACATTAGTTTGGTGTTATGTTGGTAGCGTCCGGCGGAGGAAGTAAACCTATGTCTTTCAACAGTGTGGTTTACATTTAATTTGTTCATTTCACTATCCTTGCCTATTCACTACAGTGAAATGCTAATTTTTCCAGATTGATTCCTCTTTATACAACTCTTACTGCTGTTTATTAGCTATTTTTGAGTTTCTCTTTCAATCTTTTGATTTGCTAAAAAAAATAATATAATGTATAGCATGCTATCGATTCACTTACTATGGTCCGGCCATATAAAGGAGTTCTGTAAATCATTATCAGAAGTAACTAATGTATGACCATGGCTTATTTTCTACCTTATTCTTGCTACCTCGTCAAAATTTCCTGGATCAATTTCAGTTCATATTTCCCACTTTCGCTTCGTTGG